AGTGTTTTAGTCTGCTTCTGCCAGCCTTTTTTCACTTGTGTGTCCTTTTGGTGGTGTTGGTGTTACACATGATTGTACTCGAGGGCCAGCTCTGCACTTGATTCCAAATCCATGGTTGGTTTGCTGACTGCAGGTCTACTGGATGGAAGCCTGGAATGAGAGACCATCAGTAGACCTGGCTTTAGCCCCATTGATGGCATTGTGTACTTACTCAGCACTTAGGAATTCACTTCAATTGTTTGGGCATCTGTTTCCTTCTCTGTAAAGTGGAGGAGTTGAAACACATGATCTTGGATTCCTCTAAATATCAGTGTTTTGAAATGTGAGTCAGCTTTAACCAAAGTCCAGTGAAAGAGCTCTCCACCATGGTACTTAGAGACTGGAAAGAGATGGCCAGTGTTTTCTGACTTAAATTGTACTGTTTTCTGTTCCCCTGACATTTTAGGATGAGAATTTCAGTCAGGAAAGTTGGACCAGTTCTACAGTGAACACTTGTATACCTCGCTTCTGCCACTGAGTTTGTGTTACACCTGCTTGATCACTTCTCTGTCCGTCCATTTTTTGTCCATCTTAATTTTTTGATGTATTTCACAATAAATCGCAGACCTCCCTGCACTTTCCCTGAAGTGTACTCTTTCTTTCGAACAAATTTCTGCCCTCTTGCTTACCCGACCACGTTTCTCTAGCCTAATTTCCCTTGTTGTTTTTTTAATAGCGGAGAAGCTTCAGCTGATCGATGATCAGTTTGCAGGTGCTCACCCTCAGCATCCAAAGTTAGAATCTTTAGAAATCAGGTTAAACGAATATAAGAGAGCAATAGAGCAGCAGCTGCGGGCAGACATGTGTCAAAAGGTAAGCTTTGTCTTCTTGTTACCAAAAGTGGTGTTTTTGCTGGTCTGTTAATGTCTTAACCTTAGGCATGTGGGAAAATACCTAGAATCTTTATTAATGAAAGGAATGCTATCCTGTCGTGCATGTTATTTTTCTTCCTGATTGACGTCATTTCTTTACGCCTTTGGAAGGAATCCTACAGGTACAGTGAATGAGATGAAACTTAGAGATGAATTAGACGAAATGTATTTAGACAGCATTAATGTGGAACCTAACAGTGAAGAGAGAATCTGTTACTGTTTCTTTAGTACAGTTATTGGTATTGACAGTTTTTTGTCATCAATTGGCAGTGGAAGCACTTTAAAGATACTGAAATAGCAGAAATTAAAATGGAAGAGAAAAGAAGGTGTGAGAAGGAATTAGCTGAGGTCCGGAACGAATTCGAGAGAGCTTGTCAAGCAAAGTCTGAAGCCCTCATTTCTCGGGAAAAGATGACCCTTGAGAGAATTCAAAAGCACCAGGAGGTAATAATTCTAAAATCATTTCCTGGCTGTGTCACCAGTAGGGACTTGGGGTCAAGAGCACCAGGGGAAGGATCAGCTAACTCCCTTCCTCCGAGACGGCTGGAGGGAAAGACCCACACCAAAGAAGCAGCAGGCTTGAGGCTTAGAGAGCAGCTTGGAGGTGGCAGCCTGGCACTGAAGGAGACCCAGCCAGGTGCTTGGGGGAGAGGCTTCCGGGGCAGCTCTCGGGAGGCTGTGTAGTGTCAGCGAGGGCGGAAGGATAGAGGTGCCCGGGGAGAGCAGCCCTAGAGAGCTGAGTTTCTTTGGCTTGGGAAAGGCAACCAGTTTAATGGAAAACACTGGGATTCGGCGGGGTGGGGAGGGGAGCCAGAAAGGATGGTGGCTGGTCATGTCGGGCAGCAGGGAGGGCGATGTGGCCGTCTCGAAGACATCAACAAACAGGTCTGGGGATTCTGATGGCTGGAAGGATAAGGTTGGGCCAAGAAGCCAGAGTTGCAGGGGCAGTTTCCCGGGAAGATGGGAAACATAACTCAGCTACTGTCAGGGGAGCAGAGGAGAGGCGTCCAGGGGTGTGAGGGTCATCACGTGGCCTTTTGATCTTGTCCCCAGGAAGGTGGCGGCACAGGAGGTCAAGGTTGATGCGCGATGGGGGTTGCACATCAGCAGGAGGGGTTGGATCCGCTGCTTCAGGAAAAGCAGGCTCCTTTCCCAAGGGCGTGCCTTGACCTGCCTGGACTGGGGCAGTGTGACCTGTGGATGGCCAGCGCTTCCGCTGTCAGGCGGTGCTGAAAGTAGGAGACTTCCTCCCAGCACCCACCCCCGCTTGGGGCTTCTCAGTGAGACCCAGTTGGTGGGAATTGCACCCCCTCTGCGAGTTTTGTACAGCATTTCTGGGAATTGGGCTCGGTTTAGCTGTAAAATAAAGGTCAGAAGCTCCGGTGTTTGAGAGACTTGGGTTGTATTCATACTAACAACATCATCTTCAAGATAGGTGACTACCTCAGATCACCCAGTTAACAGACTCGAAGCCTCATTAGTCGCCTGATGCTCTGAGGGCTCTGGAGAAGGTTACCATCCTCGTGAAAAGCACTGTGCCTTTACTCTGCCACTTGGGTTAGCCCTGCCCTTCTCTGCCCGATAAGACCCTCCAGCCCTTCAGAATCCAGCTGGGATGTCGCCCCCTTGTGATGCCTCTCCAGACTCCCACTGGTGGGCTGCTTCAGGCGTCGTCCTGCCGTGCAGTCTTGACGTACTTGTGACGTACTTGGGTTGTGAAGTCATCGCACTGTAGTGACTGTTGGGTTTCTCTCTCCCTGATGAGACTGTGACCCTGTTAAAGATGAGGACTGTACTATATCTGTCCCTCTTTGTATGTATGTCCAGCACCCAGTGTGTCCATGACAGGGGATAGATGTTGCAGTCCTTGCTTGGGGGACATGTAAGTAGAAGCGTGGCCATTTTATTAGGGCTCACGCGCGCATGCTAGCTGAGTCAGGATGACCTTGAATTGGAAACTTGCAGATGACAACAACCACAGGGATTCACTTCTTTTAAGTTCTATTGCTGAATGTCCATTTTGTTCCATTTTTTCTTGCTGAGTACTTAAACAGTCGAATAATTAGACAAGGGATGTTAGAAATACAGGGTAATGTAGCTTAATGGCCCTTGAGGGAGGGAGTCAAGTTTTGTGTAACTAGGAAAGGCAAAACGTACACCTCGAGTTGGAACTTCTTGAAAGTGAAATTGTTGTAAGCTCAAATTTCCTTTGTTGTCTTTAACTTGCTTGCTAAAAGTTTACGCTTTCCTATACAGAATGAAGCCAAACAAATTTATGCTCAAAGGCAGCTTCTACTAAAAGATATAGATTTGCTCAGAGACAGAGAAGCAGAGCTGAAGCAGAGGGTCGAAGCTTTTGAATTGTAAGTATGTGTGTTTATTGTGGATATGCGGAATGAATGAGATTAAAAAGAACAGCTAAATGTGTTTAAATATTCTAATATTAACTATGAGATAGAGCTCTCAGTTGGAAAGATAATGTCCCCTAGCTTTAAAAGGCACAGGTTATCAGAGGAAAAAGGCACAAGGTAAGACAAAGACCAGGGTTTCACTTTTGAAACATTAGGTACTGGGATGAAAAGCAGGATGAGACATGGTCATCAGGCTACAGTGAGACCGGACAGATCATTGGTAGACGCTAATAACGCTTTAGTAGATCATACATTTGGCATTTCTGTTCAGTCATTCGGGTCTCAGTTTCACGTGCACGTAGTAACTGAATCGCACATATCCAGACCTACTGCATCTACCTGCTCTGCTGCCCATAAAAGGAAGTAAGGGTGGCTCTGAGTTGACTTACACTGGGTGAAGCGCTTTCTTGTGATGTGGGTGTTGCTTTTTCTCTGTGCTCAGCAGTGTTTCATTCTTCACGTCTTCCCTGGGATTAATAGCAAGCTCACCAGTCTCCAGCTGAGGGAAGGAGCCTTCTTTCCCATTTGGGATCTGCTGTTAATTGTCACAGATACTCCAGGAATCATATTTCATTAAAGGATCGATCTTCCTCTTCATTAATGTTGTTGTCTAGGCTTGGTTCGTTGGATTTCTCCGCCCTGCCTGCCTTACTTTCTCGCTGGCAGTGCTGAAGAGGTAGATCGGTCATAGCAGAGAAAAGGGAAGGAACGAAATGTGGGCCTACATAGTTGGTGGTTATATCATGCCTTCTCTCCCTCCATTCCCCTCCTCCTCCCTTCTGAGCATATTGTGAGCTAAATAAGATGTGAGTTTACTGCCCCGTCGCTGGCCAGATTAGCCAGCAGAGAGCGCTAACACATGGCTTTTAGTCCGTGTTCCTAGCACTTTCGATCATGGTGCGATGGGGTACCCGTGAACCCGACTGCCCGGCTCTGGAATTGATTTTGTGCTTGACTTAAGGTCTCACTGTGAAGACCATTCCATCCTTCGGTACCGGGAAGTTCTGATGGACCCACCTACCTTTTACTCTTTCAGCACTCTTTTCAGTTTCAGTGAGTAGATTATCAAATGCCAGGACAAGTCTTCTGCCTTTAATACCTATGGGCCAGTCAGTTAGATCTTAGAGACCGTATTCTGGAAGAGCCAAGCCCTTAGGTATGCTAGCCAAAGTTTGGTATGTAGCTTTGTGACTAATAACATCATTCTTTCTTCCCTGAATTGATGATGACCACTTATCACTTGTGACCATTTTATAAGTGTGAATCATCTTACCTGCCCCCCAGCGCCCCCCGGTGCCGACGGGTGTCCCTGTAGGACTCCATCTGCTAGTGCAGATCCAGCCTCACCAGGTCAGCTCACAAAATACGTGCAAGACTTCCAGCTCTTTCCGTTTACTTCCCAGCGGTCACAGTCACCTAACAGTTTGAGTCTGTGGAGCTAAAAACACGTATTATCTATTCCTCTTAAATTCTTTACCTCAAGTATTACTGTTCTAATTTGCTTACCCGTTTTTGCTAATTTCAGGGCCCAGAGGCTACAAGAGGAAAAAAATAAAAGCATGGCTGATGGGCTTAGGCGGCGGGAGCTGAGTATAAAGAGTATTGAGGAGACCTATGACCAAAAGCTGAAGAACGAACTTCTCAAGTAAGTGTTCGGCATTTTTTTAAACAGTATCTTGTTGGAATTAAGTTGACGGAAACACAGCAACACTAATGAAGTAGATGAGACTAATATTTTATGGCAAAGCCTAGTGTTTAAAAAAAACACACGTGCGTTCAATGACAGCCAAGCCTTTTCCATGAGGCGAGTTTTAAAGGTAGCTTGAAGAAGACAGAGTACAGAGAATGGCGACCCCTCCTCGTGCTTACTTGTTGCTTCTCTGACATTTACGTAGGGCTTGTGATTTGGCTGAATTTTTGAGGGCACCTTG